TGAATCAGTGCTGGACTCCGACAGGCCAATATGTTCTTTGACAGGTACGGTGTTGAGGATGACACACAATATTCTTGATGTGGCCTAACCATAGCTATAGCATAATTCCTATCCTTTACATTATAGTGATCTAAATAGTCATTTTGATTATTTCTCATTTCTGACTGCCATCACCTTTTAATAATTAGTAACCTTCATCCCATAAATCTTTTTAGACTGCTCTTCCAAGCTTTACATCATTTAAAAAAGTTGATTCAATTTTAGTCATATATAAATGACATCACATCTACTTGTGTTGAGATCCAGATGCCATATTTCCCCGCTTAATATTTCATATAAATATTCATAATTTTGTTCCTATTTACATTACTTAGTATACCACCAATTTTTGTGCCAATGGCAAACATGAAGCTTTTCGTTGTTATCCTTTCCACTTACATAAAAGATTATCTGAGGTCTTGACTCAGATTCTTGTGAGCCAGCATGAGCAACTTCTTTAAATTTTAGCAAATATCTGTTATTCTAACTCCGTCTTCTGTTGCCTATTTGATTTTTCTGATCAGGACAATCATTTTCCTTCAAATCCACAAGTATCATTTTGAGTGAATAGGCTCTTACTTGGGAATTTTTTTAAAGCTTACAGAATATCGATGCAAACTAAATCTGTAGACATTTCCCAATCTATTACATTAGTTACTTCCTCAAAATACTCAATTAGGGGCTCAATCAATCTGTCCTTAATTATGGCTTACAATAACATCCCGTGGAGAGATGTTGGTCCAGCAGGCCTGTATTTTCCTGGGCTCAGTTGCTTGCCACTTTTGAATTCTAGAGTTACATTAACATTTTCCAATCTTAAGGGACAATCGCTGAATCAAGAGCACCTTGCCAACATTTTACTCAGTCTTCCAATTTCCTCATTTACTCCTTTTAAACCCTGGGAAGGGAACTATACAGTCCAGTGGGAAACTTTTATTTGTTTGTTCTTTGAGGTAATATCTCTGGCCAGAATTAATTGCTAATATCTAATTGCCCTTGAGAAGGTAGTGTTGAGCTGCCTCCTTGAACTGCCGCAGTTCTTGGTATCTAGGGACACCTTATTAGGGAGTCCCAGTATGTTGACCTACTGACTATGAACAAAAGATGATAAAGTTCACATTCAGGAGTGAGATATGCAGGGGAACTTGCAGTTGTTGGTGTTTCCATTAAACTGCTGCCCTTGGCCTTATAGATGGTAGAAATTGTGAGTTGAAAGGTGATGTCTAAGGAGCCTTGGAGATTTGCTGCAGTGCACCTTATAGATGGTTAGTGTACATCAATGATAAAGGGACTTGAAGTTGAAGGTGGTGGATGGCTACCAATCAAGCAAGCTGACTTGTCCTGGATGATGATGAGCCTCTTGAGTGTTGTTGAATTTTCATTCATCCAGGCAAGTGAAGAGTATTCCATCAGACTCCTGACTAGTGCCTTATAGTGAATTCCTAGCTCCCGAACTGCTCTTGTAGCCACAGTTTTTATATGCTAGTTTAGTATCTGGTCAGTGGTAACCCCCAGATTTTGATAGCGAAAGGTTTCAGTGATAGTAATATCATCAAAAGTCAAGGGATGATGGTTAGATCCTCTTCCTTTGGAGGTGATCATACCCTGGTACTTGTGAGGTACAAATGTTATTTGCTAATTGTCGACCCAAGCCTGGATGTTGTCTAGGTCTTTTTACATATACTTATGGGTTACTTCAGTAACTTAGGGATGACAAATGTTATTGAACATTGTGCAATCATGAATGAAGCTGCAATGAAGCAGCTAAAGATAATAGGGACTGGGATCTATCCAGAGTAGTCCTGCAATGATGTCCTGGGAATGATTGATCTCCAATAACCACAAACATCTTTGTGTTGGGTATGACTCCAACCAGAAGGAGTTTACCCCAAATCTCGTTGACTATAGTTTTGTTAAGGCTCCATAATGCCACACTTGGTCGAATTCTGCCTTGAGGTCGAGGGCACACACATTCAGCTTGCTTTTGGAGTTTTCAGTTCTTTTGTCCATGTTTGTACTGAGGTTATAATGAAGTCAGAAACACAAACTTGTTGTCAGTGAGCAGGCTGTTGCTAAGTGAGTGCTGTTTACTTTCACTTTTCGCAATGACACTTTCCATCACTTTGCTGATGATCAACAGTAGGCCAGTTGGATTTGTCCCGCTTTTTGTGTACAATGTTGGACCTCGACAATTTTCCACATTGTCAGGTAGATGCCAATATGGTAACCACACTCAAACAGCTTGGCTAATGGTGCGGCTAGTTCTCAAGCACCAGTTTTCAGTCCTATAACCAGAACATTATGAGGGTTCTTAGACTTTACAGTATCTAGTGTCTTCAGCCATTTCTTGATGTCATTTGCAGTGAACCAAATTGGCTTAAGATTGGAGCAAACACAACACTGGAGAAACTCAGCAGGTCTGGCAGCATCTGTAGAGACAGAAACAGAGTTGAGCTTTCAAGGTTGGTGTGTCTCTTCTTCAGAACTCCAAGTTGTCCACCATCCTTCGTGATTGAATGTGGCAGCACATCCGAGCTTAGATCTGACTTGTTGGTTCTGGGGTCAATTAGTTTTATCTATTGTGTGCTGCTTTCCACCTTTGGGCACACAGGTAGTCCTATGCTACAGCTTCAGCAGTTTGACATCTCTTTGTTTTAAGGTATGCTTGGTGCTGTTCCAGGCATGTCCTCCTGCACTCTTCATCGTATCAAGGTCAGTCCACCAGCTTGATAGAAATGGTGGAAAGGGGGAAATGCATTAGTAAAATCAGGTTATTGATTATGGTTGAATACAAGTCTCCTGCTGCTGATGGTCCTTAGCATCTCATGGATATCCAGTTTTAAGTTTTTTGTTCTATTCAAAATCTATTCCACTCAACATGATGGCAATGTTACACAGTAAATGATAATCACCAGCAGGTGATTGACCTTGTGCAATGAAACTTTATGGGATCCATAGTCAATGTTGAAGACTCACGACCAACACCCACCTGACTAGATACCACTGTGCGCCACTTCTAGTGCATCTGTCCTGCCAGTGGACATACATAGGGATGCTAATGGTGTGTCTGGGACATTGACTGTAAGGTATGATTCAGTGTGTATGAATTTCAGGGTATTGCTTGACTGGTCAATGGGATAGCTCTCCCAATTTTTGAAAGAAGCCGCCAGATGTTAGTAAGGAGGACACCGCAAATTCAGGCTTGGATTTCTGCTCCCTTGACAATGCTGGCTGGTCCATCTAGTTCTATTCTTTTACTTAGGCTTTGTAGCAGTTTGAGACCAATTTCTATACCATTTAGGAGTCAGCCACATTATGGGTTGGAACCGCGTCAGGTAAGGAGGGCTGATTTCCTTCCTTAATGGGCATTAATGAACCAAATGGGCTTTTACAACCAGCTTTTTAATTCTAAATTCATTAATTGAATTCAAATTATACTATTTGTCATGGTGGGATTTGTACTCACATCCACACAACAATAGTCTGGGTCTCTGGCTTCCTAGTCCAGCGACGTTTATCACTATATTGCCTTCTCTCCTATTCTTTAGAATCATTATATTTCTGATACTATTTTCTTGCTTATGTGATATACTAATAAGGCATTAGCTTCACGGAAACATCTTCTCACTAGATTATCTACATAAAGTGAATGATGAAGTCACTGTATTTGTATGGTAGATACAGACCAATCTCACCACAGAAGATTAGGTCCCATCTATTTCAGTCTCATTACCCCTTTAACAAAGTAATAAATGTGAATTACTGTGTAATTACTGTTAAATTAACTATCACAAGTGTGGACATTCTTTCTTTCATGTCTTAATTGTTATTGGAGATGTAAAAGAAAACTATTTTTACTTTCTGTCTCTAGTTTAATATTTAATTCCTTTTTTTATTTCACTTCTATATGTGATTTGACATTGGATTCACCCACTCTGACATACATTTTTCTCAGTTCTTGCACTATTAGTTTAACAATCTTTCAATGTGATTGATTAAGGACAGTTGCTCACTCTGTTTACTCAAGTCCCAAATGCACTCTTTCCTTCAATGTAATCTTATCAGCTTGCAAGGGCAAATCCAATTTATGGTGCTGTTAGATTATTCCCCACCGAAAACTGCGCCCATGAAGCAATAAAGCAATGTTCACCAGCGCAAGTTAAGAACTATAGTAAAACATCTCTCAACATCGCACACTGACAGTACAAAAAGCAGGGTCTTCGAATCAAAAGTTTAAGAAAGTGTCACTCACTTTAGTCAAATTAAAGAGTTAGTTTTGTTATATAGAGAAAATTCTGTACCCTGCAGTAGCAAACTGTACAGTATATACACATGAATATTCAAATATAATCAGAGCAAAGTAAATATGTACGTTTTCAAATAACGTGTTTCATTATGCGCTAACATTTTTAATTAATAAATACATACTGGTCAAGACTGAGTCAAGCAAAGACTTTATACACTACGTTCTATAACTTATTAAATACAGCATATTATAACTGCACTTATAATTTACAAAACATCTTACTACTAAGTAGTAAACTTAATATTGCTGTTCAATACACAACTGTCATTCATTAAGACATGATACAGGAAACTTACACAAAGTATTATGAATCTACTGGCATTTCTCGATTGAATTGAAACTGTCGAGAAAGTCAGATGCTCCCAAGAGGGAATTAGAGTCTTCTATTGCAGGACAAAGAAAGGTGCGAATACCATCTTACAGAGAAGGAATATGTGTGCCAAGGTATTCAGTGTTGCTCGATGTGAAAGTAAATGGATGAACTGTACCCCTTATTGAACTTGTCTCCATTCTCTGTAATCCAGTGATGATGATGATTCCAAGGTTTAAGGATTTAGCGAATTCAAATACTGGAACAGTAAGGTGAGCATTAATTGCATTCTGTTGTTCCAGATATTCATTCCCCCCCGCCCCCTCCCCAACTTATGCACCGAGGAATAAATACAAGTCCCAAATCAGGAAAAAATAAAAGTGCTGAATGGCTAGTGACAGCTCAAGCGATTTGGAATAGAGTCACACAGGCATCACGCCATTCATAAACTGGACTCGCAGCTCCTGAATACTGTTCATGATCTTCTTTTGGTGGCCAGCAAGACCCACACCAATTCTCTTCAAATCTCTGTGGGAATACAATGCAGCAATTTTTCAAATAAAGAGTACCAAGGCTTTCCTGTCACCACCTAAAATGCATACTGTAAAGAAAAGGATGGAAATCTACATACATGGATTATGCATGGAAACTCTGCATGTCCAAGAGCAAAGTATCAAACCCACCGTTTCTTTTGTAAATAGTTGGTGAAAACTGGACTGCTTCCTCTTCACAAGTTGTAAGCTTTATTGGTAATTTGTTAGAAAGCTCAACAAAGGTCAATGCTTTTCCTCTTTTTGGTTGGAGTAGCTTACAAACTCTTCCCTGTTCAGCGATAATTGTGCACACTGGCACAATCCTACGGCTGGGAGCTCTTGATGTGAAGCAGTGTCAGTGGCTGGTGGGATGGAGTGTATCAGTAGGGACTGAGGGTTAAATGGGATGGGAGAATGCTTTATTTGTTCGATCCTGCCAGCAGTTGTGCAGCGCTGGGGAAATCAAAGTCAGGGTGTATAGGCAGCAGCTGGACTCACTGTAACATGTCCCCACCATTTTGTTGATACCAGTCAGACGAACAGAGGAAGGCTGTCAAATTGCTTTACAACTGCAGACGTGAACTTGAATTGATCTCAAAAGAATAATCATAATTCACACAAACAGGTTAGCTTAGTGGAAAATTTAAACCCTTTGATGAAATTGATACCAAATGATAAAACAGTGGACACAGATGCAAGCAGGCATAATAATACATGAGCTATAGAGGAGTGAATAGTACCACATTCCCAAATGCCACTTGGAAAGTCAGTGGAAAGGCAAGAAATCAGAAAAAAAACATAAAAAGTGGGCAAATCTGAATAAAAGTATTCATTCTGCATTTTTCTACTGTCGTGGGAAACAAATAATCCAGAAACAGAAATCACAGAAGCTTAATTCTTTCAATAATAAGTACTCATTTTTGTTTTAAAGCTATAGTTACATATTCACAGAATCCACAATATAACTCTGTAAACTGAATAGTAAGGCAAAGATAATAAGTGGCAGTATTAAAGGGATAATAATATGAAGAGTGCAAAATATCAGATACTAGAAATCTGAAATATAAAGGGAAAGTGCTGGAAATACTCAGCATTTGTGGAGGGAAACAGTAAATGTTTCAACTCAATACTGAGCTTCATTGAAACTGAAGGAAGATAAAAACGTAATACGTTTTAAGGAAGTGGAAATGGAGAGCATGTGGATGGCAACAGATATTATACAACAAGTGATTCTGTGGTGCAAAAGTCAAGGGATGTGGAAATGGATATAGTAAAGAAACAAAAAAAAAGTGTCCAGATGAGGTGTGACTAAATACATTGCAGCCATTGCAAAGAAATTTGAAGCATTAAAAAAAAACAATCATTCATTGGTATCCAGTCATTCACACCACCTCTAAACATATCTCTTTCCTCAGTTGTGATTAAGACCCATTGTGACCTGAAACATTAACTTTGTTTCTTTCCATGCATAAACTGCAAAGGACCATTGATACATTGATCTTCACTATCTTAAGCCTAAAATACGGAAGGAATACTGATTCACCAGCTTGTGCTTCCACAATTTGTGAAAATGAGCTCTCCTCTCTTCCATTGGGGCATGAGCTACAAGGTCCTGTGCAGCACTCTGAACAGCTAGTTTGAGTGTGGACATAAAGTGATTCAATCCATATGTGGGCCATGATAGAAAGCAAAGTGAGTATTTTCTGATTGAAAAATCATTCCAGTAAATTTGCAAATTCTGAGGTATTTAGCCAAGCACAGAGCTTCACTGTATTGGAGCATTTGTAATAAACATACAAGGCAGTGAGGAACTATGAATATTTGTGTGGTAACAATATTGCACTGTTGAAATGTTTCCTAAAGCTTACAGAACTGATTTTCTGAGGATAGGAGTGAAAATATTTTGTCAGCTGTGTAGATTTTCTGATGGGTATTACTTAAGTGTAGTTCATGTAGTAACAAGATAGTGAAACTGACTTCCTGTTATAGAATTGATTAAAATACTGACTGTTGGAGCTGCTTACCTACTGCTCACCTTGTCAAGTCAACGGCAATGTCAAAGTCAATGCAGATAAGCATGGGGAATGTTGTTATGGTGAGTTCATTGGACATAGATCAGGTGGGAGCACAGAAAGGAATAATGACTCCTTATTCAATTCATTTTCCTATTTGTGGAGTTGGACAGTCCAGTAGAAAAAACATAACTCATTTCTACCCACTCTCCAATAGTTTATGCTAACTCCTTTCAAGCAGCACAAACAACAAAAATGAAAGGAAAATTACTCACTCCAAGGTTAATTTTGTCACAATATCCAAAGAGGTGTATCCACACTCATTGAAATTTTCTGTGTACCGACCCATCTTAAGGGACTCGAGCCACTCTCCCACAGATTGGTAGACGCTGAAGCCCCCTGTATTATGCTCCACCAGCAAGTTAGATCCTCTAGAAAAAACAGGAAATGCATATAAACACTTACAATGTTAAAATATTTAACAAAACCTCTTCCATTTGCTTGCAAACATGCAATTTTCTTTCAAATTCATCATTTCTTAAGAAATAGTAGAGATTGAAAAAGGCTTGCAAGCATTTTTTCGTAACAAGACATATTTGTTGTACTATTTGAGATTAGCCAGACGCTGGTCCAGATTTTGCAGCAAGCAGTGATGAATGATATTTTCCATATTTCATTCCGACAGCTACCCATTGACTTCTTGTGGCTTTCAAATGTTTACATATTGTAATTGGGAGGCCAGTAGTGCGTGCTGCCCTCTACAGGTGAGCCGTGTGAATAGGCAAACAGTAGCTCACCTCTTCAATCGTGGTGAATTGCCCACTAATACACTGGAACAGGTACTCTAATCATTGGATAATCCTCACTAGACATACAGATGGTAAAATTGGAGAAGGCTGGAAAAGGTGGTGAGGGATTGTGAAGGGGTATGAGCCTATAGGTTATCACTTCTGATGCAGCTAGTGCTAAGTTCTGAGCAGGGCTCAAAATTATGAGAGGCTAACATTAATTAACCCCTGACTTGATGTTGACTGCACCTGTTAAAGGCAAGGTGCACCGTGATGGAATTGATGCCGACAAAGTCATTATAGAGTGAGCTTTGAGGTTTGGAACACTCGTTAATGACACAACACAGCAGAGAGTAAGCTCCAATATGTCCCAATGCTGCACTGTAGAGTTTAAAAAGATGTGATCTAACACAAGATATCAAACCCTGAGGACATTTATGCAGTCCCATGAAAAGTCATTTACCTCACACAAGTGGTCAAGGCCATATTTTCAAATATATATCCCACCGAATGTGTTACTAGCCACATAAGTTGTTCAATATACCACATCCCAATTGCTCAGCTGCCATAAATTCCTACCAATCACAATTCATACCTCACATTTATCTCTTCATCTCCCTGCAACATACGTATCACTTCTGCAAAACTCACCAACATTTCAAATCTTGCACATGCTGACAGCTAATCAGGCATAATGACCACACTATCCAGGCTCATCGGCACACTCACTGAAATATTTTCCTTTCTTTTGCAGATTAAGTGGCAGATAACCGGAGACAACCAGACCGAGTCAATGGGAAACAAGCACATCTGCACATCCTTATCCCATGGAGGGGATGGTGTTTGCCATTATTAGACTAGCCACTGTCAAGCCCATAGACAGATGCAGGGCTAAAACAATGGCAGTTGTTGGTGAGCCCATACACAATCCTTCTCATAATCTGTTTTTCTCATAATCCCACAAATCTCTTCCCATTGACAAGTTTCAGATGGTATAAACATGGACATCTTTCTTTCCTCCCCTTCACTCACCATAACCCTACCCTTGCAACATTCTCTTTTTCTATACTCGAGAACTGCCACCTGACCAGGCAGGGGGGAGGGGATGAAGAATGGTCAATGAAGAAACATATGTCACCCAATCTCCCTTGCAGTCATTAGCTCAGGAATGTAAAGACTGACATAGAAGCAGCATCAATGATGGGGACTTGTTCAAGCGACGGCAGAGAAGCCATAGCTTCCCTGAAGGCAAGGCTGTACAGAGTGTCTGCTGCAGAGCACATTGGGGTGGTCTACAGTAGAAGGTTGACAGATATGTCAATACACATGGTGCAGGCAGACCTACCAAAATGACCGACTGACTAACTGCAGGCAATGTCAGGAGGTCAAGGAGATTAGCTCCAACTTCACACAGGTCTTTATGTGGGACTGTAGCCGACTGTTTCCATCACAGAACTGGTGACCAGTTCCACTGATGTGTTTGCAGCCCCTAACACTGATGTAAGCTTCCACTACAGTGTAAACACCCATAAGTTGGGTTCTACAATGGCAGTTCAAACTGTTCAAAGGAATTGCTGCATCTCACTGCGATCTGGCATCCAACACATTCAATAATCTACCTGCAGTAGATGTACCTGTCAGTCATAGTGTTTGTAAGAGTGACCACCACATAGCTCTTGTGGAGATTTTATCTTCATATTAAGAGTATCCTTTCGCGTGTTGTATGGCACTGCTAGCATGCTAAAGGGAAATATTCAGAACAGAGCTAATAGCTCAAAACTAGCCATCATGGGGCACTGTGGGTCATCAGTAGCATTATAGTTAACTACAGTCTGTAACCTCATGACCAGATATGCCCATCAAATCCACCCAACCCTCAGAATAGCATTCCACCCAGACTGATCCCATAACCTCGCATTCCCCACAGCTAATCCAGCTATCCTGGGCATCCCTGGACACAATGGGTACGTTAACATGGCCAATCCACCTAAATTGCACATCTTCGGACTGTGGGAGGAAACTAGAACACCCGGAGGAAACCCACGTGGACACGGGGAGAATGTGCAAACTCCACACAGAGATCGCTCGAGGGTGGAATCAAACCTGGGTCCCTGGCAATGTAAAGCAACAGTGCTAACCATCGAGCCATTGTGCCACCGCATTGATGAAATCTATGTACTCTTTGGCAAATAATTCATTTTTTAATTTTGGAAAGCTTTTCTGTCATCCACATCAGGATTGTGATGAAATACTCTCCACTTTCTTAGATGAGTACAGCTTAGACAAAGCAAGCTACTAGACTGGCAGTGCATCCAGCACCTTAAACAATCACTCATTCCATTACCAGTGCACCATATCCCATTCACAAGATGCAATGCAACAACTTTACAAGACTTTTTCAATAGTACCTTCAAAATCTACAACCTCCATCATTGAGAAGAACAAGGATAGTTGGCACATGAAAGCATTACCTCCTACAATGTCCAATGCAAGTCACATACCACCCTGACTTGAAGCTATATCATTTTCCTTCACTGTCCCTGGGTCATAATCTTGGAACCCACTTCCAAAAGTACAGCAGATGTACCCACACAACAATCTTACAAACTTTTAAGAAGGTGGCTCATTAACATCTTTCAAAGGCAGTTAAAATGGACAATAAATGCTATCCTTGCCAGTAAAACCTACTTTTTTTTAAGACAAAATGAAACAAAAATATGTGGGCATTATAGGTTGCTGTTTGATTTAGAGTCACAGAGCTGTACAGCATAAAAACAGACCCTATGCTCCAACCTGTCCAAGCCGACCAGAATGCTACATTAATCTAGTTACATTTGCCAGCATTTGGCCTATATGCCCCTAAACCTACCTATTCATATATCCATCCAGATTGTTTTAACTGTTGTAATTGTACCAGCCTCCACCATATCCACTGGCAGCTCATTCCATACACGCACCACGCTCTGCGTGAAAAAGTTGCCCCTTAGGACCCTTTTAAATCTTTCACCTTAAACCTATGCCGTCTAGTTTGGGACACCCCTACCCCGGGGAAAAGACCTGTGTTATTCACCCTATCTGTGCCTTCATGATTTTATAAGGTCTCCATGCCTCTTTCAGGTCACCTCTCAGTCTTCAATGCTCCAGAGAAAATAGCCCAGCCTCTTCAGCCTCTCCCAATAGCTCAAACCCTCCAACCCTGGCAACATCCTTGTAAATATTTTCTGAACACTTTCAAGCTTCACAACATCCTTCCTATAGCAGGGAGACCAGAATTGCATGCAGTACTCCAAAACTTGTACCCCAAGATCTCTTCTTTCAGTAACATCCCCAGGGCCTTATCATTAAGTTCACAATTCCTGCCCTGATTTGCCTTTCCAGAATGTAGCACTTAACATTTATCTAAATTAAACTCCATCTGCCACTCCTCGGCCCATTGACCCATCTAATCAAGGTCCTGTTGTACTCTGAGGCAACCTTCTTCACTGTCCACTGCACCTCCAATTTTGGTGTCATCTGCAAACTTACAAACCGTGCCTTGTATGTTCACAGCCAAATCATATTTATAAATGGCGAAAAGCAATGGAAAAAGCACTGATCCGTGTGGCACTCCGCTGGTCACAGACCTCCGGTTTGAAAAGGAATCCTCCACCACCACCCTCTATCTTCTATCTTTGAGCCAGTTCTGTATTCAAATGGCTAGTTCTCCCTCTATTCGATGTGATGTAACCTTGCCAAGCAGTCTACTCATGAGGAACCTTGTCGAATGCCTTACTGAAGCCCATATAAATCATGCACTCTATAATAGTTGTGTTGATCTCATCAGCATTATTATTACAGCAAAATCCAGGCCAATATTCCTACTTTGAACAGTAATTGAAGCAAAGTGCAACAGATCTGGCAGCATCTGTGTTTTGAATCCAGTGACTCTTCATCAGAACTGATAGCAGATAGCAAAAGGTCATCTGCTGAAAATGAGATTGGGTTGGGGGAAGATCTGGACCACTGTATTCGCTGCTCACAATGTGGTCTCCTCTACGTCATGGAGAGCATCTTGCACAACACCTATGTTCTTTCCATAAAAATGACTCCAAACATCCAGTTGTCTGAGACATTTTTTTGTCTCGGGCCTGCTGCAATACTCCAGTGAACCTTAGTGCAAGCTTGACGAACAACATCTCATTATCTGCTTGGGGACCCTGCAGCCCCTAAGACTCAACATAGAGTTCAATAACCTTAGAATGCAATTCCGTCCTTCCACGTTTTTTACTCATCCCTGCATCCTGGTCATGTCATGACGTGGGCTGCCCTCAAGCACAGTCAACCCATTCTCACCCACACTCAATCCCATTATCACATCACATCGGTTGCTCTCAACACAGTCTATCCATTCTCTCCTACTCTCATTGTCATTTACTTAGCTTCTCCTCTGTCCTGGCTGACTATTAGTTATCTTGTCTGCCTACCCCTTTCGTATCTCTCTCGCTCTCTCTCTCTCTGGGGTTGATCTCCAACTATTTGCTCACCTCTTCCCCCACCCTGCCCCACCTCATCTTCAGCATAAATATCACTTTCTCATAGTTTCTATCAGTTCTGATGAACTGATCATCAGACTCCAAACATTAACTCTGCTTTCTCCCTGCAGGTGCCCACAACCTGCTCAGTTTCACCAAAAATTTCTATTTATATTTCAGATCTACAGCATCCGCAGTTCTTTGTTTTATTCCTACTTTGAAGCTTATTCATTTCATACTATGTAAAGTAACAACATGACTCTGCAAAGCCACGAATCACCATTTCACTTCACACCCAAGGAAACATTAAATCGAGCTTACAGCACGGCCTAAAACTGCATTCTACTGACTGGATTTTTATTCCATCTTTAAGATGGAATTTTGCTGATTTTGTGAGTTCCAAGCATTGCAGCTATTTCTGAAAGCAGATTTTGACATCCAAAAGTATTTTCCAGAGTGCGATACATTTACATTGAGTTAGAGATCACGCAGTATCTGTTTCCTAGCCTGATATTCTTTTTCCTCACTGCAGTGTGTAGTTTTGCAAATATTTATTTGGCATGTTGGTGATGAAAGTGACAGAGTTTATCTGCCTAATGTAATTAAATAACAGAAATACCTAAAATTGTTACAATTCTGCAGCATACAACCATTAGATTATGCACCTTTTTGAGACAAAAATCAATAGAATTTGTGTAACCAGTTGGATCCATTGACTACTGGGAGTAACCACAGTGAGGTGAAAGCTCAGTCACTTGAGTTAACATTTCCTCCTCATTGACTTATGTATCTATTGTATTCTTTCCTAACAGCAGTGAGCAGCACACCCATACCCACTGCATCAAAATGATGCATACCAATTCCTTGTCACTGAGTTATGAGGGTAACTTATTCTGATGTTGACAGAATTAATTTAGAAATTTATTTAGAAATAAACAATTTGTAATAACACTATGAATTATGCTGTCCCAACATGAGCAGGAAAAGAAAAATGGCTACAGAGTACACTGCAATAATTTTAGACAGAGAAAGAAAGCTGCACACGAACAGTGTTGCCTGTTTCACCCATGCGAGTCCTAACTTAAGAGTGGAACAGGACAATATGTGTTACCCACCAGACTTGAATTTCTACAATAGAACTCTATTCCTGAGAGAGGATTCCTTTCCCAGCAATCTAGATAGAACAGGCACAAAATCTGGCCAAATGTCTGCATAACCAATGCAGTGACCTAACCAGCAGATCAATTTTCCAAAGGTCAAGATGAAATGAGAAGCACAATCATTGAAATGGAAGCAAAATAATTTTATTTGATTCTAATAGTTATTAACAGACTGTTAAAATGCTGTTTTATTTTAGAAATTAGGAACCTGAATGAAGAGCTCGGGATTTACATGGGATACTGCCAAAGTTAAAAGAGCTGGGGTTCAAGACAACCTATTAACACTGTTTACAAAGGGACCCACATTTTATTAAAAAGACTTCCAAACTGTACTTCTCAACTTGTGTCACTGCAAAGTAGTCTCTACTTTATAGCAACACAAGAATACAGAGAAGTGAAAGCAATTTGACATCAGATATGAAGCTTTCAGTTCTTTGTGTCACATTAGTCACAGCATAAATGCCTTAAGATTTAAAGTTATAATTTAATAAATCCCCTCAGAACTGTATGAACCTCCTCAGTTTCTAGACTTACAAAAGCACAAAAATCCTGGCCTATTATTTCTAAATTTAAATATTATTTCTATCTTTGAAAGACCAACATATGTAGTCCGTTAAACAC